TGTCAGGGCACCTCGACACCCACAGTGGCTCTGCAATAGAACCGTTGGCCACTTGGTGGGATGGTCATTATTTTCTGCCACTGTTTGGCTTGGAGTGTCTCCCTAAAGTAACAGTGGATTAAACGGCAAATACTGAGTCACTTTGACCTTGACATAGGGTGGAATACTTCACACGACCCACAGATGTTCAGTTCAGTTCAGAAGACACTGACACAACCTGTGGAGCCCTCCTAAGAGTTGGGGGACAGCAACATCATCATCCCAATTCTCAGTGCCCAGCCCACCCACTCCCCTGCCCTTCTCTGGACTGGGTCCCTAACCCCAAGTCTGTCCCACATGGGTACAGGTGCTCAACAGTTGGCAAACACGTACTGTAATAATAATAGTGCCTCGCATTTCTACAGTATGCACAGTTTACAAAGCACCTTGACAGCCCCATTTTAGAGATGAGGAAACTGAGGCTGGAGAGGTGAACTGACCAGCCTGAGAGGACCTACATATTAGAAAAATACCCAGCCCAGGCCATGTGGTATTAGATGACTTGGAATCAATTCTGCTGGGATTGGTCTGTTGGTTTATTTATACTTCCTGCTTCTTTTTGCCTCAGTCCCGTGTTTTACTTGGGTTTTTTTTTTAATTTATTTATTCATTTATTTATTTTTGGCTGAGTTGGGTCTTTGTTGCTGAGCGCAGGCTTTCTCTAGTTGTAGCGAGTGGGGGCTACTCTTCATTGCAGTGCGTGGGCTTCTCATTGCGGTGGCTTCTCTTGTTGCAGAGCGTGGACTCTAGGAGCGCGGGCTTTCTCTAGTTGCGGCGAGCTGGGGCTACTCTTCGTTGTGGAAGCGGGCTTCTCATTGCGGTGGCTTCTCTTGCTGCAGAGCTTAGGCTCTAGGCGCACAGGCTTCAGTAGTTGTGGCACATGGGCTCAGCAGTTGTGGCTCATGGGCTCTAAAGCACAGGCTCAGTAGTTGTGGTGCACAGGCTTAGCTGCTCCGCGGCATGTGGGATCTTCCCGGACCAGGGCTTGAACCCGTGTCCCCTGCATTGGCAGGCGGATTCTTAACCACTGCGCCAACAGGGAAGTCCCTTGGTTTTGTTCTAAAGAAAATTTTCTTCATTGATGTTTTCAAAATTATTAGCATCCATTGTGCATAGTGTTCTCTTATAGATATGTAAATCTCTCTCACATCTGTGATTATCTGGTTGATATTTCATTAAGAGTGAAGCACTTGTGAGCAGATGTTCAAACCCAGCAAATTCAGATCTGAGAGCACTGCTTCCAGGTCCAGCCTCGTCCTCAGTAGCTGGTCTGCTCAGCCTTCATCCATGATGCCAACAAAGCTGCATTATCTTGGTAGTAACAATAGCAAAAATAATAACAGAGCTTTTGTTGAGTTCATACTGTGTGCTAGACCTTGTTCCAAGGGCTTTCCTTTATCAACTCATTTAATCCTCACAACAACCGCATGCAGTAGTTACCATTGTTATCTCTGGTGTACAGGTGAAGAAACTGAGGCACAGAGGCATTGAATAGCATGGCCACAGTCACAAAGCAAGGAAGTATGTAGCATTTAGCTCATAGTGGTCAAGCAAATGGACTCTGTAGTTAGGCTTAACTTCTGATCCCAGCTCAGCCACTTACTGTGTGAAGTTAGGTAAGTGTCATGGGTTGAACTGTGACCCCACAAAAGATATGTCAACATCCTGGGCTTCCCTGGTGGTGCAGTGGTTGAGAGTCCACCTGCTGATTCAGGGGACATGGGTTCGTGCCCCGGTCCGGGAGGATCCCACATGCCGCGGAGCGGCTGGGCCCGTGAGCCATGGCCGCTGAGCCTGCGCGTCCGGAGCCTGTGCTCCACAACGGGAGAGGCCACAACAGTGAGAGGCCCGCGTACCGCAAAAAAAAAAAAGATATGTCAACACCCTTACCCCTGGAATCTGTGAATGCAACCTTATTTAGAAGAAGGGTCTCTGCAGATGTAATTAAATTAAAAATCTTAAAATGAAATCATCCTGGATTACCCAGATCGGCCATAAATCCAACAAGTGTCATTAAAAGAAGCAGATGAGGAGAGGACACAGACACCAAGGAGAAGGTCACTTGAAGATGGAAGCAGAGATCGGAGTGATGCAGCCACAAGCCAAGGAATGCCTGGAGCCACCAGAAGCTAGGAGAGGCACCGCATTCTCCCCTAGAGCCCCCAGAGTGAGCGCAGCTTTGCCAACACCTTGATTTTAGGCTTCTTGCTTTCAGAACTATTCAAGAATAAATTTCTATTTGTTTTAGGCCACCCAGTTTATGGAAATTTGTTTGGCAACCCTAGGAAGCTAGTACAATAAGTGACAACTTCTGAGGACCACAACTTCTGACAACTTTTTTTTTTTTTTTGATGTTGGGGGTAGGAGTTTATTAATTAATTTATTTATTTTTGCTGTGTTGCATCTTCGTTTCTGTGCAAGGGCTTTCTCTAGTTGTGGCAAGCTGGGGCCACTCTTAATCGCGGTGCACGGGCCTCTCACTATCGCGGCCTCTCTTGTTGCGGAGCACAGGCTCCAGACGTGCAGACTCAGTAGTTGTGGCTCACGGGCCTAGTTGCTCCGCAGCATGTGGGGTCCTCCCAGACCAGGGCTCGAACCTGTGTCCCCTGCATTAGCAGGCAGATTCTCAACCACTGCGCCACCAGGGAAGCCCCACAGTTTCTTCATCCATAATACAGGTCTAGATACTAATAATACCCACCTCATAGGGCTTTTGGGAGGATTAGAATGGACAGTGTGCCTATAATGGACACACCCTGTGCCCAGCATATAGAGAGCATTCAATGAAGGTTAGCAACTATAAGAGCATTGTTTATTACCTGTTCCTCGGCAGCCCTGCCCTGAACCCTCTCAAAACTAGTCCCTCCTCTTGCCATTTCCCTGTGTCTGACTCCTTGTCACTGGGCCCCTTGAGACCAGGCCAGCATGTTCCTGGCTTAGGAATCTCAGAGGAATCGAATCTGACTCCCAGATGTAAAGCCCACTCCTCTGAGCCATTATCGCCAGAGCTGCCAGAGTGAGACTATGAACACCCATGCATGGCATTTTACTATTTCACCCAGGAAGTCATTTTCTTACATGATTCAGACACAGAAGTCACAGAGAATTAAATCAAGAAAGGTAACTCCATGGGCTTCCCTGGTGGCACAGTGGTTGAGAGTCCACCTGCCGATGCGGGGGACGCGGGTTCGTGCCCCGGTCCAGGAGGATCCCACATGCCGCGGAACGGCTGGGCCCGTGAGCCATGGCCACTGGGCCTGCGCGTCCGGAGCCTGTGCTCCGCAACGGGAGAGGCCACAACAGTGAGAGGCCCGCGTACCACAAATAAAAAAAAAAAAAAAAAGGTAACTCCAGGCTGGAGTGATTTCTGCCAGCCGGTGTGGAGGATTTTCCTGCGTCCACTCAGCTCTTTCTTTCTTATCTGCGTCTTACAGCAGACAGGAAGCCAGCTGACGAGAGACTGCATGTTCATACCAATTATTAAATATATATGGCAGCCTTCTGGAAATGCATTCACATACCAAAGAAATGGAATGCATTCACCAACCCAGGCTCTTGCACTGTGGGCTTTGGAGGAATAATGAGGTAGCTGTAAACACTATGATCCAAGGTTTGCTCCCTATTCTGCCACCTCCTAGCTGTGTGACCTTGGGTGAGTGAATCACCCTCTCTGAGCTTCAGTGCCCATAAGGAAATATCCACTGCTCCTTTACAGGTTTACCACGAGCATTGACTGGGGTCACATGTTCAAGTGCCTAGCACTAAGCCTGACACACAGGTGACCCATCATTGTGACTTTTGTTCCCACTCCCTGACTCAGAACTTTCCAACTCCACAGGGGAGGTAACATAACTTCTCTGCCTGCTTCCCAGGGAGGTCTTTGAGGAGCAATGCTGCTTCCTGTGGATAGATTTACACCTTCTAATGCATTTCCACTGAAACTCCACCCACTTAATCCTCACGATCACCCTAAGCAGAGAAAGTTCTCTTCCCATTTTGCGGTTGAGCACGTGGAGGTGCGCGGAGCCACGTGATGGGCTGTGGACCACACAGGTAGCAAGTGGGGCTCAGAGGCTCTAAGCCAGGCCAGCTGCTCCCCAAAGCCATGCTCCTTCCACGGCCCAAGCTGCCTCTCAAATGAGATAATGGATGGGAAATTGCCTCATAAGGAGCAGAGCTCTACCCCAGCTTGAGGCCTGTTATCTGTGATTATCTCAAGCACCTCCCTGTGATCAGGCATCCTAACTACTTTTTTGTCCACATCTATTGTCCTCACTTCCTCCTTCTAAGATAAGCCAGTTGGATCAGTCTCATTCGGCTCATTCCATGGTGCTCTCTGAACTCAAGCAAGTGTTGCTGAACCGCATGCATCCACATAGCACATTCCCACTCCCCCTCCACATGCCTTCTCATGCATCCGTACGCCCGCGCCACCCACATGCTCTCACACGCACATCCAGGAGGCTCTCAGCACAGCCCACCCTCTGTTATGAAGAAGGCTTCGTGAAGCTAAGCTGTACCATGAGGGCACTAGAGAGACGTGCTGTTCGTTCATTCACCAAACCCACATTTGCTGAGCATTCGCTATGTGCCAGATGCTGGGGCTGCAGCGATGGATAAGGCACAGGCTCTGCTCTTAGGACACTCCCAGTCCAGGAGGGACAGATGTGTAAACTGACAATGTCAGCGCGGGTGGTAAGTGCTGGGATAGCTTAGCCTCCAGCCATGGGGGATCACAGAGGAAGTGGCTAGTCATCCTACCTTGAGAAATGTGTCATAAAAAGGAGGAGCTACTCTTCCCTTCAGTTCTTGAAAGAACAAGTAGGACTTAGATAGTTAAAGAAAACAGGAGCTGCACGAAACAGTCTGGCAGTTCCTCAAAAAATTAAAGTTACCATGTGACCCAGCAATTCCATTCCTAGGTGTATACTTAGGAGAAGTGAAAGTGTGTATACAAATACTTAAAGCAGCATAATTCATAACAGCCTGAAAAGTGGAAACAATCTGAATGTCCATCAGCTGATGAATGGATAAACAAAATGTGGTATATCCAGACAACAGAATATTATTCAGCCATAAAGAGGAATGCACGCTACAACACGGATGAACCTTGAAAACGTTATGTTCAATGAAAGAAGCCAGACACGAGAAGGCCAAATCTCGTATGATTCCATCTATGTAAAATGTACAGAATAGGCAGATACGTACAGGAAGTAGATTAGGGGGCTGGGGAACATGGAATGGGGAATGCCTGCTAACAGGTATGAGGTTTCTTTTTGAAGTGGTGAGAATTATCTGGAATTAGATAGTAGTGAGGGTTAAACAACATTTTAAACACACTAAAAACCACTGATTGTACACTTTACAATGAAAGTGGTTAAATAGTGAATTTTTCTGAGTTTTATCTCAGTTTTGTTTTTTTTTTTTAAGACAGGACAAGGTATATGAGGGCATTCCAAAGCAAGGGTAAGAGGAGGGGGAAATGGTCTTGGGGGACAGCAAGTGTCCAATGTAACTGGTGTATAATGCTTTGGATTTTTCTACTGGTGCTTCATAGCTTTAGAAGGCTAAAGGATTGTCAGCTCTAATGCCTACAGTACTCATTAGGGTGTTTTTGGCTGCAAGTAACTCAAACTGGAGTACACAGTAGAGGGAACACATTGGCATCCCGGAAAATTCCAGAGGTAATGTGGAGTTCAGGCACAGTTTGATCAGGGATTAATTACATTTCTCTGTAAGGCTTTTGTCTCTGCCTTCCTCCATGTATGAAATATGTTATCGTACTAGCTTCCCACGTGTTATGGAGATATGAAAAGAAAGATACATTTCAACTTGGAAGACCTTAGAAGATTCCTTGGACAACATGGAATTTTAGCTGAGCTTTAAATAATGGGCAGGAGCTCCAGGAGAAAATATTGGAGGCAGTGGCATTCCAGGAGGATGAAAATCCATGAGCAGGAAGGTGGAGGGTATGTCTGGGGAGAAGTTCAAGAATCAACTGGATCTGGCTGCCTGTGGATAGAAAGTAAGTGCAGAGCTGAAGGGAGCTTGTACTGTGACCTGGAGGCAATGGGGAGCCGTTAAAGGAATTTCAGCAGCAGAGCAGCGTGAGGAACCCTTCATAAAAGTTCACTCTGGCTCTCAGATGACATTACGGGGTTGTTACTTTTCTTAGGTATATGATAAAATTGTGGTTATGTGCATGGAGTCTGAAATTTACCTCCAGATAGTTTAGTGGGGGAAAGTGTGTGTGTGGAGAGAGAGAGCAGATATGGCAAAATGTTAGCAATTTTTGATTCCTGGAAGAGAGTACACGAGTATTCCCTGTACTATTTAGCTTTTCATAAAAATCGGAGAAAAGGAGAAAAGGGGTCGGAGAGGCAGACCTCTGAGGGAGGGACAGGCTGGGGAAGTGATGTAGTGAGGGCCTGAAAGCCTAAACCCCAAGGGCTGGGGCTGAGGTGTCCTGATGCTGAGATGGGCAGAGGGCTCAGGGCAGGTGGACGTGTTGATGAGGGAGGTGTAGTAGCCCGATGACTCTGCAGCTCCTAGCCTGAGGGCCCAGGAGGACCCCGGTGCCAGGAGCAGAGCTGGAAGACAGCCGAGGAGGAGCAGGAGCAGGAGCCTCCAAGGAGGGTCGTTTTTGCTCTTGGTAATCGATGCTTGCTTGTGTGACTAATGTTGACTCATAGAATTTCAAAGCTTGAAATGACTTAAGAAATCACCTAAACAGACCCCTCATTTCCCTGATGGAGAAATCGAGGGTAGACTTACCCAAAGTCCCAAAGCCAGAGAAGTGACTGGGATAACCTACCAGTTTAAACCAGTCTTCATGTGTCTGTTTCCACCTTCCTGCCCTTCTCCTGAATGCTCTGGGAACCAGACAGAGGAGAAATGAGAGGAAGGGGACATGAGTTTTCTTAACGAATCCTTTCAAACATTTTCTGAATCTGTGTTGACTTGGAACTTTTCCTTGGGTGGATTGCTGCAGGGTGGTAGCTGCGGGGGTGATAATAGTAACAGCTGACCCTGTCTGAGCCATTCACTGGGGCCAGGCACTGGTCAAGGGGCTTTATTCATATCAGTATGTTTAATCCTCACTCCTATGAGGGAGGAGGTACTGTGTTTAGACCCATTTTACAGATGGTAACAGTGAGGCTAAATAGCTGCAGCCAGGTTTCAGCATTTCTAAGTGGCAGAATTAGGCCTAGAGCTCAGGCAGTCTGACCTCTGGTCTGAGATCTTTAACCACCTTGCCCTCAACTACCTCACTGGATGCAGGTCCCCCCATATTCTCAGTGACTGGCTGACTGAGTGATTGATTGGTTTATTTTGCCAGGGAGAGGGTCAACAGCAAATTCTGTCCCCAGCCTCATTGGTATTTTTGCAGTAAATCAAGGCCTATTTATTACTCATAGAGTATTTTGGGGGTCTGTGATAAAAAAGAAATGCAAAACTTAATTTCACTTCCCCGCTACACTGCTCATTCTTTTTTAATAACCCTCTCTTATCAGCCTCCTGGCAGCTTTTGCATTCCTGTACTTGTTAATTACTTTATTAATTACATTAATATCTTTGGTTCTGCCCAGCATATCTTGGTGCTTTTTGTTTCCAGCGTGCACCCATTTTGCCTTGTTCATTGGCATATGTGGGCCCAGTTCCCACTTCTAAAAGGGATTCTTTGAGCCTCAGTAAACACATGGCTTTCAATTAGTCGCACAATCATCATTCCCATTTTCATCTCAGCCACGTCACTAATCAAGTGTTTTTAACATTCTCCCAAACAGACTCTGTGTTGTGTTAAGTTTCTGACTTTGTTCCTCAATGCTTGTTTCCTCTCCAGGTCACAGCTCAGAGATCCCCACGAGCTAGCACTGAGTGACACATAGTGAGATGTCCAGGAGGAGGAGCGAGAGGAGTTGAACCCTGGGGTAGAGGAAGGCAGGGGTTTGTGAGATGAGACTGGAAGGTGACCTGGGAGCAGATCCTGGGAGGCCCTGAATGGTAGCTGCAAAGTCCAGACTTTATCCTAAAAGCCAACATCTTCCCCAAGTATACGGCATGGAATACTAATCCCATTAGGTATCCCAAAATAAAAGGGAATGGGGAGATTTCATGGTCCAAAAGTTTAAGAAATGCCAGAAACAATGAATCTGCCTCTTGGAAACGTACAATGGGCTTTAGCATGTTAAAATCTTTGCAAAGTCCTACAGTTTACAATTATTAACTAAAAATTTTTAATTTTAACTTTTAATAATAAATATTTTTAATAAGCATTTCCAATACTTCTTTGCCCATGAAACTCTTTTTTCATTTGTAGGATGTAGCGTATTTACATTACATATAGGAGGAATATAATTTAGGAAGTGCTGATGGAGGGGATGAGAAGCCCTTTCGTGGGTTTTGAGCCAGAGGGAACACGCTTAGACTTGGTTTTACAAAGGTGACTCTGGCAGTCAATCAGAATGGTGGGGAGACTGGAGGAAGGAGGGGAAAAATGAGGCAGGCCCTGAACAGTTCAAGCAAGACGTAATAAGGATGTAAAGAAAAGTTTTCAAATGTTTCAATGTTTTCTTTCCATTTTATTTCAAGCTGCATTGTTGTCTTAAAATTGGAAAATCAGTGTTGCTGTAATAAATCACAGCACAAGGCTTTTACTCAGGCATAAAATCTGAATGAGAAAAGCGATCTGTGCAATCTTCCATCTTCAAAGAAAGCATTTAGGGGCTTCCCTGGTGGCGCAGTGGTTGAGAGTCCGCCTGCCGATGCAGGGGACACGGGTTTGTGCCCCGGTCCGGGAAGATCCCACATGCCGTGGAGCGGCTGGGCCCGTGGGCCATGGCCGCTGAGCCTGCGCGTCTGGAGCCTGTGCTCCGCAACAGGAGAGGCCACAACAGTGAGGGGCCCGCGTACCGCAAAAAAAAAAAAAAAAAAAGCATTTACTCCATCAGGGTGTAGGGATACAATAGTCATCTGTTTCTGCAAATCACCAGAGTTCATCGAGGTTTTCCAATCAGAGAGACCCAAATTCAGTTCTAAGCCCACACCTTAGTGGCTCTGTGATGCTGGGCAAGTGACTTTGCTTCTCTGTGTCTCTGTTTTCCCATACAGTAAAGAAGAAGAAGAATCTGTTTCTCACAAGACAGTTTCAAGGACTGCATGAGGGGATATGTGCAAAGTCCTTTAGCACAGTGTCTGACACATGATAACATAAAAACAAATAACTTCCCTTTTATATACATCAGGATAGGCTGGGCGAGGCTGTGGTAATAAAGAACCCCTAAATCATAGCCGCTGAATGCAGCAAAGCTCTACTTCTCACTCATACAAGGTAAACCTGTGAGTCCAGGTGGTCTCCAGGGCAACCGTCTCCCATGAGGCATCTCCATTATCTGGGCCTCAACACGGGGCAGCCCACAGATCTTGCAAACAGCTCTTCTGTGCTTCAGCCCACAAGGGTCAAATGTCACTTCAGCCTGCTGCCCACCCGCCAGACTTAGTCATGTGACTCCCACGTGGAATGTACAGGGGCTGAGAACTGTGGGCCAGCAGATGGAATGTCAAGGGAGCTGTAGCCTCTGCCAGTCCTTCATTCCCTTTGGTCAGCCCACTTACCCTCTCTGAGCCTCAGTTTCCTCATCTGTAAAATAGAGCTAATACTTCCTATCCTACCTTACACTGGAGTGTTAGAGGGGCACATGTGATTATATATGTGAAAAACGCTAAGTTAAAGTTAGAAGCGATTATTGCTTACTTTATGCTGTGCCAAAGCCACATCACACTCTTTGGTTCATAGGAAAAATGTAGAACTTCGACCCTCCTTACATCTATTGATACATTCCCCCAAGCCCATCTCACCTCTGGATTGCCCACTCCTCCTTTCATTTGGGTCTTTTAAATTATTTTTCAGTGAGATCAGTAGTAACTTACAAGTAGCCTTTGGTAGCCTATTTTTGGAATCGCACACTGGGCAGCACATCCTGCATGGAAAAGGTGACCCTAAAGTGCCATGAGGGATGACAAGGAGGCCACCAGTGCATTTCTTCTGGACAGCTAAGAAAACTCTCAGGGGTCCCGCTTCA